GCTGTCTTCAGGTACAATGATAAACCATAGTTTGAAAAACATGCTTTGTGTAATGAACTTAGTCTGCCAGTGACAAGTAGTAAATCCGGTTTGGTGCAGAACGGAGAGCAGCTTGTCAGCTGCTTTGTGTCATTTCCCTCCTATATTGGTTTATATTCCATGGCCAGGTGGCTGCAAAGAATAATGCAGTTCAGTAAACTGTAATTTGTAAATTCACATGTCACAATCCTATCATCAGAACTACCTGTAATTAACAAACCAGCCACAAACCATAGCTTGGAATCCTAGTGTGGTGCCAACCAACAAGCCCTGTTTTGTTGGACTATCCGGATTGTTGAATTGTGGGCCATGGAGATCTCCAGACTACAGAGATCATTTCCCCTGGAGAAAACGACTGCTTTGGAGGGAGGGATCTATGACATTATACCCCATTGAGGTCCCTCCCCTTCCCAAACTCCACCCTCCCCAGGCTCCACCCTCAAATCTCCAGGAATTTCCCAACCCAGACTTGGCAACCCTCCTGTCTGCATTGGACATCAAAAGCAACTGGAGCTTAATCAAGCTGCAGTTTATATACTACAATGTATTGTAATGCAGCTGAATCCAGCCACTGTCTGTTATGTAGACAGTCATACTACACAGTTTTGGGAAAGATGCTTTCATGAATCTGCTATTTATGGTGCTCTACCCTTTTACTGTTTCATTTGTACAACATATTGGAATAAAATGGCCCATTTTACCAATTTCTGAATTGTTTAGAGGAGCTAGGGGAAATGCTTCTCTTAACTGCATTCCTGGCATTTTGTTTGTGTATGTGTTGGACTGAGCTGTAGATTTTTCCATCCGAACTTGTCAGACAGCTTCCAGGAGTGTTAGTATCCAGCCATGCTGTCTCCTGAAATGCTCTGTTCTCTTCCTGCAACTGTTAACAAATTGCTTATGTATCCAGAGAGATGAGTTTGAAAGTCAAAACAATTGTGTGTGAAGGATGGCAAGGCAGCCAATTCAAAGGGGTCTTTAATGTCATGAGCACTTTAATCCTGTTAAGGCAGGAAAGGTAATAGGGATAGTGTGGAGGCATTATCTTGATCCAGAGACGGGCAGGATGGCATACAGTGCCCTGCAGGCTCTTTTTAGAGTCCTGTGATTTCTTGCTTTGATTTTCTAAACCTCTCATTTGCAGAGGTAAATTTAAAAATGTGATGACATCAACTGCTTCTTGTACCCAGTTTGCCAGCCCCCCCCCCCCCCG